TTCTGTGAAGTCTTGGAAGGCTCCAAAAGCCTTTATTACCAAAAAAAAAAAATTCTATTCTTTTTTTATTACATGGGATCTCATTAAGTGGACATTAATTTTTAAGAGGTTGAAAAATATGTAGTGCAGAGCAATGTGGCTCAAATTCTAACAATGACATGAATCACCTGGCGATTATGTTAAAATGTAGGTTCAAATTCAATAGATTCAGAGTGGGCCTGAGAGTCCACATTTCTAACAAGTTCTCAGGCTAGACCTTAGTCAGCACTTTAAATGGGAAAGTTGGAGAGGAAAGGAAATTGACTTGGAGCTGGGGAGACCAGGACTGAAACTGACTTAATTGGTTCCTCACAGTGAGAACCTGAGATAGCCCACCCCTCTGCCAGAGCCCTCTTTCTTTCCCTACAACACTCAGAGCCTCCCCATCAACATCTGCCTTGGACCCACTGAGACTGACCTCACCATGCCCTTGATCCACTCCACAACAGTCTTTCAAGATAGGTATCATTATTTGCACTTCATATATAGAGAAATGGAGGTCAGGATTCTAGATTGTTTACCCAAAGTTGCCAAATAATAAATGGTAAAGCTGATATTCAAACCCAAGTCTGTTTAATGCTAAAAGACCTTTTTCATCCAACCTCCCATTCATTTTCTTCCTTTTTCTACATTTGCCAATCTATTTATTTTTTTAATTGAATGTATTGGGTGACATTGGTTAACAAAATCATATAGGTTTTAGGTGTGCAATTCTATAATACATCATATGTACATCGTATTGTGTGTTCATCACCCAAGGTCAAGTCTCCTGCCATCTCCATTTATGGTCCCTTTACTCTCTTCTACCTCCACCCAACCCCCTTTTTCTCTGATAATCACCATACTGCTGTCTGTGTCTATGAGAGGTTGTTGGTTGGTTTGGGGGATTTTTTTTGTTTAATCTTTTCACCTTATTCACCCATCTCCCTAGCCCCCTTCTCCTCTCACAGTTATCAGTCTGTTCTTTGTATCTATGAGTCTCTTTCAATTTTGTTTGTTAGTTTGTTTTGTTCACTAAATTCCACATATAAGTGAAATCATATGGTAATCTTTCTAAGACTGGCTTATTACACTTAGCATAATACCCTCTGGGTCTATCCATGCTGTCACAAGAACCCCAAAGATTCTACCAAAAAGCTACTTACTAGAACTGATAAACAAATTCAGGAAAATAACAAGATATAAAATGAATATCCAGAAATCAGTTGCATTTTTATATATCAGTAATGAACTATCATAAAGGGAAACTAAGAAAACAATTTCTTTACAATGGCATAAAAAACACCTAGGAATAAATGTAACCTAGGATGTAGAAGACCTATACTTGGAAAATTATAAGACACTGAAGAGGACACAAATATATGGAAGCATACACTGTGTTCATGGATAGGAAGAATTAACATCATTAAAATATCTATACTCCCCAAAGCAATCTATAGGTTCAATGCAATTTCTATCAATATACCAATGGTATATTTCACAGAAGTAGAACAAATATTCCAAACATTTCTATGGAACCTCAAAAGACCCTGAATAGCTACAGCAACCTTGAGAGAGAAGAACAAAGTTGGAGGAATCATGCCACCTGATATCAAACTATACTACAATGCCTTGTAGACAGCATATATATGGGTCTTATTTTCTTATCCACTCAGCTACCCTGTCTTTTGATTAGAGTATTTAAGCTATTTACATTTAAAGTGATTATTAATATGAATATATTTATTTCCATTTTATTCTTTTAACTATGATCCTCTTTTTATTCTTTTTAATATCTTTCTTCTTCTCAATAGTGATTGATTTTAGAGAGAGAGAAAAGGAGGGAGAGAGAGAGAAAAACATTGGTTTGTTGTTCCAGTTATTTATGCATTCATTGGTTGATTCTTGTATGTGCTATGACCAGAGATCAAACCCACAACGTTGGTGTATCAAGACAATGCCTTAACCAACTGAGCTACCTGGCCAGGTTTTTATTCTTTCTTTTCTTAAAGAAGGCCCTTTAACATTTTTAGTAATACTGGCCTGGTAGTAATGAATTCCTTTAGCCTTTTCTTATTTGGGGAGCTTTTTATTTCTCTTTCCATTTTTATATTATTTTTTTAATTCTTTCCATTTTTTTAATGGTTTTCATATAAAAATGATACAATTATTTTATTTTGCTTATATTCATGAGAACACAATATGGCAATAGCCAGGAATATACAGGGGAAAAGGATTTAATTTAATTTCACATGAAATAGATTTTCAAATATATCTGCAAACCAAATAATCAAAGCAATGTGGTACTACCACAATAATTTACAGGCAGACCAGTAGAGCAGAACAGTGTATATTTACACGTCTATATCTTCCTATGTATCTATGTATGTATATAACCACATATCTTTTTTTTTTTTTTTTGTTAATCCTCTCCTAAGGATATTTTTTCCATTGCTTTTAAGAGAGAGAGAAACCTATGTGAGAGACAAATTAGTTGGTTGCCTCCCAAACACACCCCAACTGGGGGCAGGGATCAAACCTGCTACCCAGGTAGGTGCTCGTGATCAGGAATTGAACTCAAGACCCTTTGGAGTATACGCCAATGCTCTAAACACTGAGGACAGCAGCCAAGGCTATCCAGGTATCTTTATATTTCTATCTATCTACCTACCTATATATCTATCTTCTATCCCTTCATTCATACATCCACCAACCCTGAAAGCTAAATAGGAGATTCACTTGCACCTGGAGCAAAAGGAAGGAATTTAGGTTTTTCCAAGAACAAATGCAGACACTACTTGGAGCAGCAGTGCTCCAAATTATAAAACATTTATTCCATGGAGGCCCTCGTTCAAATGAAATAGCTAAACTTAGAAAATATATTTTTATTTGAAATTAGTAATAAAGTCTCATAGAGATGTCAGAGTTAAATATACATGTATAAATATTGCCTGCTACATGATGCTGCCGACTCTCACATAAAGAATGGCAACTCCTTTCTCACACCAGATGTAGTATGAGTCCAGAGGTAGAGTTCTTGCAGAGAATGTAGGAGTCACAGGCTCATGGTGGCCCCCGACCACCTCTGGCAGACAGAAAATAAGGAAAGCAAAACTTATTTCTTCACAAATACGCAGTCCAGTGCAGTGTGCGCCTCACAGCTGCCCAATCATCTCTGTTGTTTCAAGATCCTTCCTTGCTTGGGGCTCCTAGAGGGAGTGGTACTGATGGTGTAGGGCAGTGATGGTGAACCTATGACATACATGTCAGAGGTTACACTCGAACTCATTTTTTGGTTGATTTTTCTTTGTTAAATGGCATTTAAATATATAAAATAAATATCAAAATATGTCTTTGTTTTACTATGGTTGCAAATATCAAAAAATTTCTATATGTGACACGGCACCAGAGTTAAGTTTGGGTTTTTCAAAATGCTGGCACGCCGAGCTCAAAAGTTTCGCCATCACTGCTGTAGGGGGACCCAATACAGGCTCAGATATATTTCTTCTCCCAGCAGGAACCTCTCTTCCCAGGTGTGTGGAGCTAATATTGAGAGTTCTGTCCCAATTCCCCGATTCCCAACACATCCTAGTCTGTATTGAGGAGGAGGAGGGCAAAGGAAGGAAGTAAAGCAATAAACAGGGACAGGGTGGAGGGCCCTGCAATGTACATAGATGCCAAAGACTTCTGTTGGGAAGTTCTCTGTCCCGCCACCTAAGAATGAACAAAGCTCAGTTGGAGTTTGAGTCAGAGGTGTCCCCCGAGGAAGATGAGCTGGAGCTGCTGGCATCTTCATCGCTACTGCTGGAGTCTGAGGAGCTGCTGCTTTCTGCCTTTCCCCCATGTTCCTTCTTTTCTTCAGATCCCCGTGAGGAATGAGAACAGTCCCCATTTGTCCCTGAATACGCTATCCCAGGAGCCTGTGGCCCCTGCTGTTTAAAATAGCCCGCAGCCTGAGTGCCAAAGCACTAGCTATGCTTTATGGAGATAATGCATCTGTTAGATAAGCTTTCATAAGGAATGAGCTCTATTGGTATTGGCCATTAATTCAATGTTAATAAATAAACAATATATATTAACTAAGATGTCTTTATTTTTTTGTGCCATTAATCACTATGCTTTAATTATGTTCAATTTGTAGCAAGGAACTTGGGGGTCACCACAACATGAGGAACTGTATTAAAGGGTCGCAGCATTAGTAAGGTTGAGACCACTGGTCTAAGGTTTATTTCTACCTCAATTGCTGGCCCCTACCCAGCCCGGCCCTGGTCCGGGCTTGGGCAGGAGGCAAACAACTGATGTGTTTCTCTCACATGGATTATTTCTGTCTTTCCCTCTCTCCCCCACTCTCTCTAAACATCAATGGGAAAATATCCTCGGGTGAGGATTAAAAAAAAAAAACAAAGGTGGGTAACCTGGTCAGAAGGTCAAATCTTCAAAGTGTTTCGAAGCTGCTTCTCCAGGAGGTTCGAATGAACGTCCTTGAGCATCTCCAGGAAGGCCTGCGGGGATGGTGCCTCCACATTCTGGAAGGTGTTCTGGACTCTGCCGAACAGGAAAAACTGTTTCGCCTCCAGCCAGATGAACCCGAAGTGGTTCTCATCAAACAGGATGAAGACTGCAAGGCAGCGCCTGTTGTAGGCGAAGTCATCCACGCCATAGAAACACATCCTGCAGGTTTCAGGGTAGTTCTGGTCTATTGAGCGCACGCCCACAGGCAGAACAAACGGGACAGGCTGCTCCTCCGAAGCTGCAGCCCCGGACTCCCCGACGCTGGGCTGGGCAGGGCTCTGCCAGGCATGGCCCTCGCTTTCCTCAGTCCCGTCTTCTTGCTGCTGCTGCTGCTGCTCCCGGATCACCTGCTCGTCAATCTCGTGGACCACGCGGGAGAGCTCGTTGAAGTTGCGGAAGATCTCGCCATCTGGCGGCTGGATGCGGCGCATGAGGTGGATTTGTAACGTCGCGATGGGGAATCCCGTGACCTTTGTGAACCTGGCATACTTCCCATGGAAGCTGAGCATGGCAATCGTTTGGCCGCCGGCATCGTATTTGCCTTGGAAGAGGCCTGGCCTGATGAGGTCATCCGAGTGGCTCGGCGGGAGGTAGAGGCGGCGGTAGGTCAGGCAGTGATATGGCGGTCCGTCCTTTCGGTGGTCTCTCTTGAACCACTGGATGCTAAACCTGTCCTTCTGAATCTGCAGGTGGCATTTGTGGGAAAATCTGTAGAAGGTGTCCATGTAGTACTCCACCAGGGCTAATTTCCACTCCGCCAGGCGAATTCTAAACAAGGGCTCGAATTCCATTGGGCCATCCACATCGGTGTTAAGGGGAGGCCAGCACGTCCAACCAGTAATGCATAAGCCATCCACCACGACATTCAGCAGTGTTCTATAGTCCTCAGTATCTAGCTGCCACAATCCCAAAATGTGTCTGTATGGGTGGAGCAGCTTCGCATAGACTTCTCGATAAGACATACCCCTCCTCTCCCGGTTCAGCAAGCTTTCAGGAACGCCAAACTCCTCCCTGCAGCGCCGTCTCCAGATGCTGTCAATGTGCAGGATGTGGTGGAATTTGGTGCAGGCCTGGGCCAGGCTGGGCAGGTCGGTGCCGGGGAGCGAGGCGAAGATCTCCACTAGCAGCTCGGGAGGCAGGCCCTGCAGCGAGCAGTGCGGGGGCAGCATGGGGCTCGAGATTCCTCCACTCCCCGCACAGCACCGCGCTGCTGCTTCCGCCTCGAGGTGCTTTTCTGCTAGGGCCGGCTTGCCTTCGGCTGCTGCCTTCTCAGCTGGGCCCTGGCACTCCTGACTACACCCCTTGCCCTTGGCCGCTGCTGTCTCAGATGGGCGCTTGTGCTTCTGAGGACACCGACATCCCCGCGAAGAGCCCCTCGAAGAGCCCACGCCGCAGAGGCAAGCGCACTGCTCCATGCCTCCACACTTAACAGCCACCATAAAGTGGGCTGCCACCCCTCCGCAGGGTTTTAAGCTGGCTGGGTCCGCCCTAGAGTCCAGCCACTCCCCCCAGGGCCTAGCCACACCCTCTCAGAGAGGAGCCAATTGTAGGACTTTAAACCCATACCCATTAACGGTCGCCTCCCTTTCCCAGTGCCCCCTCCCTGTCCTCCTGCCCTAGCCCCAGGCAGTCACTAATCTGCTTTCTGTAGGGAGATGCCTCCAGGGATATGCCTATGGGGGGTGGGGGGGAACATTTCACAGAAATGCAGTAAAGAAAACACACAACTGTGGTACATCTACACAATGGAATACTACGCTGCGGTAAAAAAGAAGGAACTCTTGCCATTTGCAACAGCATGGATGGAACTGGAGAGTATTATGCTAAGTGAAATTAGCCAGTCAGAGAAAGATAAATACCACATGATCTCACCACTTGTGGAATACAGAGAACAACATAGACTGATGAACAGGGACAGATCCCAATTCTTTCCATTTTTAAATGAAATGCTGAGTAAAGTGTTCTTGGTTGTAGATTCTGCCTTTACATCACTTTGAATATTTTGTGCCAATCTCTTCTGACCTGGAATGTTTATGTTGAGAAACCAGCCATCGATCTTATGGGAGTTCCATTGTAAATAATTGTCTTCCTCTTGTTGCTTTTAAGATTCTCTCTTGTCTTTAACTTTTGCCGTTTTAATTAGAATGTGTCTTGGTATGGGCCTGTTTGGGTTCATCTTGTTTGGGACTTTCTGCACTTCTTGGACTTGTGTGTCAATTTTCTTCACCAGGTTAGGAAAGTTTACAGTCATTATTTTTATTTTTTTAACCTTTTTTAAAAAAAAATTTAATCCTCACTCAAGGATATTTTTCCATTGATTTTTAGAGAAAGTGGAAGAGAGAGAGAAAGATGGAGAGTAGTATCGATGTGAGAGAAACACATTGATTGGTTGCCTCCTGCATGAGCCCCAACCAGGGTCCAGGTGAGGGAGGACCCCACAATCGAGGTACGTGCCCTTGACCAGAACTGAACCTGGGACTCTTTGGTCCACAAGCCAATGCTCTATCCACTGAGCCAAACTGGCTAGGGCTTCAGTCATTATTTCTTCAAATTGGTTCTCAATACCTTGCTCTCTCTTTTCTCCTTCTGGTACTCCTGTGACTTGTCGGAGACCACCTATCATCTTCACTAGCAGAGAAGAGTAGAGACCCCCAAAAGCAGGTGACCTTTGAAGCCCTAGCAAAGGTCAGAGTTGTGCACCACCCAGTTAATCTAGATAATGGTAGCTGAAGCAACCTCCCCACCTTTAATCATGTAAATCCTTATTGATAAGATAGTCTGCCTATTACTGGAAATTGCCTGTGGGTGGGCTAGTCTGTTTGTTACTGGAACTTGCCTGCCTAAGGGCTGTGCTATGGGTGTATCCCAGATCAATAAAAGGTTGGTGCGGCCTGAGCACCAGTGGAAGTCCTCCTCCTTGAGTTGGACTTGCCCACCTGGTCCCCCAATATTTCCAAATTATCTCATGTCTTTTCTCTTTCATTTGTGTGCGGCTCCTCTTCCAGACCTGAACCCTGAACCATGCAGGACGTGGAGGGAAACACACTCAACAGTGACTTGTATGTTGTTATACTTTATGTTAACCCTTAAACTATTTTGTTTTGTTTTGTTTTGTTTTTGCTGCTGTGATTGGGTGTTTCTTACACTTTGTCTTCCAAATCACTGACTGGATCCTCTGCCTCATCCAACCTACTGTTTATTCCTCCCAGCATATTCTTCTTTTCAGTTATTATACTCTTCATTTCTGACTGGTCATTTTATAAGGTTTCTATGTCCTTTTTCATGCTGCTTTAATTCTAATTAAGTTCCTTATAGTTCTCACTAGGTTCCTTGAGTGTCCTTAAACCATTTCTTTGAACTCTATATCTGATTAATTGCTTGCATCCATTTCATTTAGCTCTTTGTCTGGAGATATCTCCTATTCTTTTATTTGGGGCATGTTTCTTTGTCTCCCCACTTTGGCTGCCTATTTGTGTTTGTTTCTATGTATTAAATAGATCTGCTATGACTCCAAGTCTTCATGGGGTGACCTTATGTAGTCTAGTGAGGGTCTAGTGCAGCCGTGGGCAAACTACGGCCCGCGGGCTGGATCCGGCCCGTTTGAAATGAATAAAACTAAAAAAAAAAAAAAGACCGTACCCTTTTATGTAATGATGTTTACTTTGAATTTATATTAGTTCACACAAACACTCCATCCATGCTTTTGTTCCGGCCCTCCGGTCCAGTTTAAGAACCCATTGTGGCCCTCGAGTCAAAAAGTTTGCCCACCCCTGGTCTAGTGACATGGTCTCCTTGATCACCTGAAATGGGTGCTCCAGCAATGCATCTTGTGTGGGTTATGTAGACCGTCCTGTTGCAATTGAGTATTGGTTGCTATTGGCCTGTCCATATGTGGTGTCAACTCTCAGGCTGGCTGACTGTGAGGATCAACCCCGACCACAGTGTATTAGTATAAGCTCCTGTGCAGGTGCTGACCATACAAAGCCAAATTCACCTCAGCAGGGTTTGGTGCCTGCCAAGATCTCCCTTTGGGTCTTGTGAATGCCACTTGTGAAGCTAATTGAATCCTTCTCCGATGGTGCAGGCCAATGCCAGTCGCTGCTTGTGACTGGCCCTGGACAACGTGTTTGGAGCTACAAACACTTTTTGTGGCTGCCTCTACTGAGCCTTGGTGTGCACAGGAAAAACCAAGCTTCCCATTAAGGCTGGCTTTTACCCACACCAGACCTGGAGACAGGTCAGAAAAAGTCCCAAGGCACTCCAAAATCCACGTCTGCCTGCTTCCACCTGCCAGCTGCTTGTTAGGCTCAGTCACCGAAAGAGCCTGTCCAGATCTCTTCCTTGATGAGGGTGGGGCAGGCACTTAACTCAAACCTAGAAAAGCAGAAAGGACATTTTATGAACTCATATCACCAAAACCACATGCAGGATCAGGCACTGGATATCTCTCTTGCCTTTCCTTTTCTTTGAGCACTAATGCCTTTCCTACTCATGGCGTGCAGGTATTCTCCACTCGGTGGGAAAATAGCCATTGACGATTGCAAGTTTACCTCTTTCCAGGTTTATGACTTCAAAGGCAAAAATGGCTTCTCCTTCCAACTTCAGAATAAAGAAACACAGGGGAAGACCCAGGTATATCCCATGTGGCCCCCCTGACCTATCTTGCTGGCTTGAATGTCCAGACCTGAATTAACTGTTCATCTCTATAGCCAAAAAGCCAGGTCTCTGCAATAGCAGCCCCACCAGAAACACAAGTAAGATAGGGTGGGAAGCATTGTTAGTAGATTAAGGAATACAGAGCAGACAAAATAGCAGGTATCCACTACACCGATGACATGTATGCAAATAATTGAGCTTGTTAAAATGTGGATTGTGGTTCAAAAGGCCTGGGGCAGGTCCTGAGGTCCTATATATCTAAACATTTCCTTTCCACAGCCACAGCCCATGCTTTAAGTAGCAAGGCACTAGCTAACCTTTCCATGCATTGCCCACAACTATCTAATGCAGTCGATGCTCTAAAGCAGTGGTTCTCAACCTTCCTAATGCCGCGACCCTTTAATACAGTTCCTCATGTTGTGGTGACCCCCCAACCATAAAATTATTTCTGTTGCTACTTCATAACTGTAATTTTGTTACTGTTATGAGTCGTAATGTAAATATCTGATATGCAGGATGTATTTTCATTGTCACAAATTGAAAATAATTAAAGCATAGTGATTAATCACAAAAACAATATATAATTATATATGTGTTTTCCGATGGTCTTAGGCGACCCCTGTGAAGGGATCGTTCGACCCCCAAAGGGGTCGCGACCCACAGGTTGAGAACCACTGCTCTAAAGCATTGGGCTCACCAACAGGGACAGACGCAATCTCACATGCTTGTCTGAGTGCGGTGCCCTCTCAGGGCCGGCTGTGTCCCGTCACAACACTGAAATAGCAGAGGTGTTGCACGTCAGGATCGAGACATAATGGCAGAACTTTGTGATAAAAACACTTTACAATTTCATAGCACCTTCCATTCCAAAGTGCTTCAGAAGCTATATACATTCAGCACCACAGAAAGATGATAGAGGCAGGTTTGGGAGGGGGAGGGAGGAGAAGGTGATGAGGGATGGAATGGGGGTGGAGGCATATAAGCCAAGGACAGTGGGGTATTTCTCTGTTAACGGCAACACAGCACTAAAAATATTTTCAAAAAGAAAAGAAAGGAAAGAGAACTAAAATCTATAAGGTTCATGCTTAACCAAAGATACTGCATAGTTTGATGTTCAGAATTATTTTCTCAGTAACTTGCCACTGGTTATAGGTACTCTGAGCACAGAGGAAAAGGAAAGAAAATCTGAAATGAGCTAAACAAACACAAAGATTAAAAATATTACCAGGAAATCTATAAAGTCTGAATCTAGTAACTCCAGTTTGTATAGGCTATGTCAGTCTTCTTAATTAAACAATTAAGTTTTAAAATCCTAAAAGGCATCCTTCCATCACGTACTCTCTGGCACAGGAAATAGCTTTTTGTTTGCAAAGCATTTAGTAAAAGAACTGACTTTTCTAAGCATGACAGAATGTGAACATCTAACTTAACCTTACTACACCTGATGACAGTATGGGTAGTTCATATATGTTCTGAGGTGGGGGGGGGGGAGTTACTTTATGACAGAGCTTAGAAATGGAAACTTTTCATGACTCCTAGAGTGTTTGCCTTTTTTTAAAAATCCATTTTCTAGCTTGGCTGTTTCCCATTTGTAACCAGGGACTCCTGGGAGCTTCCATGAACTTGGAAGGAGTTCTAAAGTTCACTTCTTCTGACTCCATGCAGCTGATAAATGAAGACCCACGAGTTCCCACAAGACAGTTTCAAAGAGTCCGTGCTCCAGGCAGTATGTGGCCACCTGCCAGGGAAGCACATACCA